GCTGCTTAACAGTGTTTCTGGAGGTTTTCACTGGCTACGTCCCCTTTTCAAAGTCTCCATGGGGGCGACAGCTGAACTAATTTGTTCTAGCGCTGAATGTAAAGAGCTGAATTTGAAATGATCATTATTTGAATTTTAAATTCCTCTCAATGCTTTCATATGACAAGCAGCTATATATAAATACATTGATGCATACTGTTAACAGCCTTTACGTAATACTGTTTTAGTGCATGAAAAGTGCACTGACTGAAATGTGAGAACACATCCAGAGGTTACAGTTAGACCTTCACACCAAGGGGTCACTGTGTCAGAAATATGCTGAGCGTCACACTTGGTTTATTTTAACCCAGACATGATGCCACAATACTTCATCTATGAGTGAGTTTGTTTTCATATTAACGCGAGAAGTTTAAATATAGATTTTACTTTACAGCAAGGTAAAAATACTCTATTATATATAGAGTGCTGCAATCCCAACACTTTTCTTAACTTAACTTAACACTTAACTTGCTGTTTTAAAATCTTTAAAATGATATATTTTGTGCTGAAAGGGTGGGTAAAGAAGACAGCATATGGATGGGGCCTTGGCAAGCTGCCATTCCTTTTTCTTGGCACATATTTCCGTACAGAGAGTTCCCATCAAACCCAGTGCAGAATATGTCAGCTAGTCTCTTTTTTAAATCACTTCTCCCACTCCATTTAAACATATGCTGCTGATAGTTTGACAATACGTCTCTGGCCCAGTGCATATTTACATTGCCCCAGTGCAGTGGACTACTAGCCCTGTCTGTGTCAATTTATTGAATTGCCCAATTTTCTTTTCCTTTTATGAAGAACTCTTGACTGCATTACCCAAACAAGTTGCATATCATGATGGGCCAAACTCTGCAGTGCAGAAGTGTAGCTGAAGGCAGACTGATGTGCTTCATCAGGCAGTTCAGTTGCTCTCCTTGGTGCTGAAGTTGCACTAACAGGTCCTTCTCTCTCTCTCTCTCTCTCTTTCTTTCCAGCAGTTACATTTTATATGAGATACTTTGTTACGTTTAAATATGTTTTCTCTCCATACCTTTTCATATCCTCCCTGCCATTTGATAGGAATTCATTTGCGATTTAAGTCAGTGTTTGCCAAACCTTTTTCTTTGTTTAATGTACCCTTACAGAATCGTCCATAAGGCTTGAGTGCTCCTCAATCAATATCAAACATTTAAAAATTATTATTAATTTCCCTAAAATAACCATTATCACAGTGTTTACTTTTAAAGTTTAAAAAGATGGAGGAAAATCAGAGCCACCAAGTTTTATCTCACCTCCCTTTTTTAATGAGACACCTGAGCTTGTTTGTCTTCATAGGTTTTGACACTTCTGGGGGAAATGTTACTAGCACTTGGAAACAGCTCTCTTTCTGTGTGGTTTAATAAATATGCAAACATATTCAGATTTTTTTAAGTGTAATTTACACCATTTAATAAATTCAACACAAACCAACCTACTTTGTTGTCTTTCGCTAAACAGGAACTGTAGTACAGCTAATTGCAATGATAAGTAGTATTTTTTGTATATTTATTTCTATTTACACTTTATTAGGTATACCTGTTCAGCTGCTCGTTAAAGCAAATATTTAGTCAGCCAATTACATCTCAATGTAGCAACTCAATACATTTAGGCATGTAAATACGGTCAAGATGATCTGCTGCAGTTTAAACCGAGCATCAGAATAGGGAAGAAAGCTGATTTAAGTGACTTTGAATGTGGCATGGTTGTTGGTGCCAGATGGGCTGGTCTGAGTATTTCAGAATCTGCTGACCTACTGGGATTTTCACGCACAACCATCTTTACAGAGAATGGTCCAAAAAAGAAAAAAATATCCAGTGAGCGGGCAGTTTTGTGGGAGCAAATGCCTTGATGCCAGAGGTCAGAGGATATTGGCCAGACTGGTTCAAGCTGAGAAAGGCAAAAGTAACTCAAATAACTAGTCGTTATAGTCGAGGTATGCAGAAGAGCATCTCTGAATGCACAACACATTCAACTTTGAGGTGGATGGGCTACAGCAGCAGAAGAACACACTGAGTGCCACTCCTGTCAGCTAGGAACAGGAAACTGAGGCTGCAGTTTACAAAGGCTCTCCAAAATTGGACAATAGTAGATTGGAAAAACCTTGCCTGATCTGACGAGTCTCGATTTCTGCTGTGACATTCGGATGGTAGGTTCAGAATTTGGTGTTAACAACATAAAAGTATGGATCCATCCTGCCTTGTATCAACGATTAAGGCTGGTGGTGGTGGTTTAATGGTGTGGGGGATATTTTCTTGGCACACTTTGGGCCCATTAGCACCAACTGAGCATTGAACTCAGAACTCAATCCAACTGAGCAGCTTTGAGGTGTGATGGAAAGGGAGATTCACATCATGGATGTGTAGCGGACAAATCTGCAGCAACTGTGTGATGCTATCATGTCAAAAAGGACCAAAATCTCTGAGGAATATTTCCAGTACCTTGCTAAATCTATGCCACGAAGGATTTTAAGGCAGTTCTGAAGGCAAAAGGGGGTCCAACCCGATACTAGTAAGGTGTACCTAATAAAGGGGCCATTGAGTGTATTTGTATTTATTAATGGTACAAATACTATTTGTACCATTTTCATCCCAAGGCTCATGTTACAATGAGTGCACACAAAGCAGTTAAATTATTGTGATTTATTGTGCAATATTCATTCATTCATTTTCTTTTCGGCTTAATCCCTTTATTAATCTGGGGACGCTACAGCGGAATGGACCGCCAACTTATCCAGCACATGTTTTACACAGTGGAGGCCCTTCCAGCTGCATCCCATCACTGGGAAACTATTGTGCCATAATATTCTGATATAACTGAATAATATTTAATGAAATTCTTTAAGTTTGTTTGTTCGATAAGTTTGTTTGATAAAATGCAAATAGTTGAATTATTCAATCGAGCTCATATGAACGTCACCTGTTTTGAGTATGAGTGGAATTGGTTTTTGTGGTCTGCTCCTATGTTTGATTTTCTAGGGAAACAAATTAGATCTGCTTTCCCCCACTAGTATTTCAAAAGCTGTGAAATGAGTTGTGTATTTGCATACATTTTACCTAGATTGTGTTTCTCCTGAGAAGGTCTAGTGGCTATTTAGTCAAATCGCTCTTATGCAAAATCAACATTTTTGTTTTTCTTCATGCAAATTACAATCACTTCATATAATCATTCTGCATTCAAAATTAGTATATGCTGTTTTTAAGTAAGCATTTTGTTCTGCGAAGATAGTCATGGCATGGCTTATTGAGAAAAATGTCTGAAAGCAAGCAACACTCATTGACATTTTACACTTGAACCATTAGTTCTCAGAGCACGCACACCTGCATGGAGGGTTTAAGGTGGACCAGGGTGTTGAAAATGCAGCTCTGGTTCAGTGGATATTCTTCAGTCTTTTCACACAGCCATTATAACATCCTGTTTAGTTCTTTTAGCACTTTCTTAACTGATATTTTCATTTCATGTATCATGTTTATTTATTTTTATTACTTGAGTCTGTATACACATTTAACAGCATATGTGCTGACATGTGTCTGTTGTGCAACCTAATTTCCTATTTTTCACTCAGTATGTGAACTATGTGACTGTAATGCCAATAACAAATGAGTCAGCGATGAAGTGTGTGAATGAACACCTGCATTGATGTGTAAAATACCGTAACTCAGCTGACGCTTATGTTGTGTCATGTTGTATCTTGTGCATAGCTCAGAAGAGATCACTATGCCTATCAGATGCGAATCAGATTGTTAGGTTAGGATTTCTTTTGGTTTTTCAATACTAACAATCAGTGTCTGTATAAACAATTAAAAAACACCTCATGTCACTGTGCCTACAATGAAAATCGATGTTGATATATCAGATATTGAACGCATGGATTCAATTACTTGCTAAATGACAGTGTAGACAAGAAGTCTTAAAGATCATGTTTGGAACGCTAATCAGATTTGTTTGGTGTGTCAGCCAAGCATATGAATTTTTACATCAAGGAATAACGAGGCTTAAAAATACATTGTCCTCCAGTTTCAGAGACTAAATGGCACGTTTGAGCTTCCTAAATAACTTGCCCCAAGACATCTTTAAATATTTGATTGTTTTGTCTCAAGATGCACACTAGCAATGTGCATTTATAAAGCTTTTTTTTTAATCAAAGCTACTTAAATATCTAAATTAGGACTAAGGCCTTTGAAACCAGCTCTAAGCCACCCACAAACTGTGAAGAACACATTGCTATAAATTTAATGGCTATAATTATCAAAACCCAAACTATTACTTGCAACTGATATGTATTTTTAAATATAATAATCAACATCACATTCTAATGTATTTGCAAACATGGAATTAAGGCAATTTGTTTTCTAAATGAATAGTACATTTATGTTTTTGTCACACTTTACAATAAGGTTTTATTAGTTAATGAATTTATTAAAATGAACTAAGTATGAAATTAATTGTAGTTCAACAGTTGAACTAAAAATGAATGACTTAGTTTAAGATGAATAAATACTGTAATTAATGTATTGTCTTTTGTGTCCATTTTAGTAAATACATTTACTTAACAGACATTTACCAATGTTTACCAAAATCGATGTAGATATATCAGATATTGAATGCATGGATCCAATTACTTGCTAAATGACAAGAAGTCTTAAAGATCATGTTTAAAACACTAATCAGATTTGTTTGGTGCGTTAGCCAAACATCTGAATTTTTACATCAAGATACAATGAGTCTTAAAAAATAGTTTCAGAGGAAAGCCATTTGAATATGGAGAGAACATGCAAACTCCACACAGAAATTCCAACTGAGCCAGCCGAGGCTTGAACCAGTGACCTTTTTGCTGTGAGGCGACAGCGCTACCCACTGCGCCAACTTCCTTCCCCATACTATGTTAATACGAATACAGTTAAATGAACTTGTTACCTAGTGTGAAATTCATTAAGGCATTCACTCACCTTATGTGTTTTCTGCATTCCCGCACTTCCTATTTCTTTTTTAGATGGACGTATTGACTGTTGCACCCACGTCTTGTCTTTTACAGAACTGCACACATGACAAAACTTACAATTAGGTCTATTTTGAAAAACCACATCTCAAGCCCTTGCATTTTTCCTTATCTTTACTGCGTATCCTGTTTTAACCACTAAACATATTCATAACAGTCATTTAATTAAAATTTTTTATAAGTAGTACTTTTTAACCAACAAAACTGAGGATTTTCTCCACAAGTATGTATTGACTATGAAACAACATTACGAAATGTAATATAAACTGAAAATGAGAAACACATAAAAAGATGTTGCTAAAAATATTTATTTATCCATCATACAGTATTTGTGAGCCAGTGAATATGTTGGCAGGGCAAGTAAAAATCTGTCGTTGGAAAAAAAAAACTGTTATTGTTAAGCCCTGCCATAAAACAATTAACACTTTTCTTAAGAGCTGTGATCGCATTTATGCATGGTGTGAAGAAATGTTTTCAATCATAACGTTTTTTTAAATATCTGTCAAGATGTTACTCCATCCAAGAGAAATGACTCAATTCTGGTCTATTCTCAGGCTTCCAATGCTGAATATGTCCACTCCCAGTGACCTCAAGTCTCCCTGCATGACGCGGAACGGCATGGTCAAGCTGCCCCCCCAGCCCAACCGCCTCGGTTCAGCCAGCATCACTAAAGGCACTCCAGCTGCCAAGAATCGCCTGTGCCAGTCATCCTCCGTGCCCACCATCTTGCCTCCGCCTAGCCTCCCATATCACCTGGATCCCCTGCCCACAGCAGCCTCGCTGCTTGGGCCAGACCTGGACACGAGTCCCGTGACTGCGATCAAACCCCCACTCCGGCAATTCCCCAAACCCCTACTGGAGAGACAACTGATACTGGACGAGAAGGTGCTGAACCGGCTCTTATGGTACTTCACCACAGCAGAAAAGTGTATTCTAGCCCAGGTGTGCAAGACGTGGCGAAAAGTGCTCTATCAGCCCAAGTTCTGGGAGGGGGTGACACCCATCCTCCATGCCAAGGAACTCTACACTATCCTGCCCAATGGGGAGAAGGAGTTTGTTAGCCTGCAGGCGTTTGCACTCAGAGGCTTCCAGGCCTTCTGTCTGGTGGGAGTCTCGGATTTGGACATTTGTGAGTTCATCGACAACTATCCGCTGTCAAAGAAGGGAGTGAAGTCTGTCAGTCTTAAGAGGTCGACCATAACAGATGCAGGACTTGAGGTAATTATGGTGTCATGCTGAATTATTATAATTTATTTGACTATTAATATAAGTTTATGTTTTCATGGAAGCAACTTTATATGTTTAGTATAACGGTAAAAATGTATCACATAAATTCTTACCATGATAAAATCTGCAACTGAACTGTAGTTTGAATTGTAGAGTTTGAATTGCTATATATTTTAATTTTGGAAGGACAAAAATACCCCTGTATGTTTTGTTTTTGTACGTTTTTATATTTATAAGACATGATATGTATGATATATAGTAACATCACACAAGCAAGAGTTGTTTTTCAAAATACCATCGATTGAGCACAAAAGTGAAAAAGATTTTTAAGAGCATGAAAAGCTAATATTTAACATTAGCAAGTTGCATTTTTAGACACAATATTCTTTCATTCTTTTACTTAATTCAATTTTAATATATATAGTTTTTTATTTAGTAGGCTCATAACATTTGACCTGTGTTCAAAAATCGAGCTTAGTTAACAGGAAATGGCGATATATGCACTATAAACAAACAGCCATGCTATGCTTGCAAGATGCAATTGCTTACAAGTACCACTTAAACCTAAAATAACTATGATTAAAGTAAATTTAGGATTTATTTAAAAGTTTAAGAGTAAGAAAAGTGTTCATAGCAAGCTGTGTTTACATTAATCTCGTGACAAAATCCAACTTACATGACTAGCCGAATGCACAGGCACTCTTCCTAGTGAGCATTTGCGTTTACGGTTAAAAACTTGTCTACAGCGCCATCTGATGGTAAAAACTAAACCCATAATCCAATCGAGATGCATTTTAAAAATCTCAGAATTTCTGGGGAGATTTCTGATATATAAGGGTGCTTAAGTATGTAGTCATTTCAAGACAAATACTAAAATGAAGAATATTTGTGCATTTCAGAGCAATACTACAAACGAACGATGATCCATTCCATAAAAACTGCATCTGAAATCAGATATTACCTTTTAAGTAGGCAGTTACTTTAAAAAAAAAAACACTAAAAGTATGCATTAAATAGTGTAAATATGAAAAGTATGAATTTTATTGAATGTACTACATGTAATATATCCTCTGTCCTTTTAGAATTCAGTTATACTTATCCTGTTACATACTGTACTTCACTTGTATAGTAAAAAGGTATGCAATTTCGTAAGCAGGCTGCGTTCAAAAGTCACACTCTATACCCTCGTTCAAATTAGTCCACTAAAGGCCACTTGAAGGAGTAAATGAATGTAATTGTGTGTGAATTCAAACACACCAGCAAACTGGCCGTTACAATTAGAGATAGACAGATTTATCTTAAAATTATCTTGAAAATAAGAAAGTTTAACCTTAGTTAAATAATTTACTAATCAATTAAAAGAGAATTTAAACACACAAAGGGCCTAATATTATGCTGTTCTAGGGTTTCTACAGGTTTCACAAAGTTTTAAGACTGTTATGAATGAAATTTCAGACTTTTACAGGACTAAACACTATTTTTTCCCCTGGTTGGTAAAGTGGAAAAGAGGTTTACTTGTCTCCTCCAAAAAAATCTAATTAGTTATTTCTATGCCACATATTTTAAGTAATGTGTCAAAACAAGCAAATCCTAATTTTATGTATGCATATTAATATGTAGATGTTGGTTGAATGTTTTTGAGATGTATTGTTGGTGATTGGAGACATTGACAGATGAAAATTAGGACTTGTTTAAAAGGATTTAAGACCTACAAGACAATATTTTAGTCAGACTTTTTAAGGCCTAAAATTTTGTTTTCAAAAGTTAAGACATTTTGACTTTTTAAGACCCTGCGGAAACCCTGTGTTCCCACAATGAGCCAGTTGTTTAGACAATGACTGGATAAATTAGCACCATCTTCTGATGAGATGCTAATGCCTTGCCATCAAATTGCATTATAAGTATTCTTCATCTGTTAGTTGTATGAGACTGAATGAGTGCACTTGTGCTATGGCAGGGGTGCCCAAACTCGGTCCTGGAGGAACCTAATAAAGCTCTTTCTTGGTATACTAAAACTTCCAGGAAAGTGTGTTGAAGGAAGTTGAAGCTTAACTATGCAGGATAGCAATCCTCCAGAACCAAGTTTGGACACCCCTGCACTATGGTTTCCGACACCACTACAAATGGCATTAGATATATTAGTGGGTATAGAGGGCAGTTTCAAACACGACATGCTACTGAAGCACTGAAAGATTCAGCCTTGTGAACAAATAATTTTAACAAATAATTATGTAAAAAGGTTTTATTATTATACTTATCCATGACTTACATATCTCAGCACAAACAAAATACCTAGAAAAGTAGCATTTATTTAAAAAAAAAAAAAAAAAAACATAAAAGAAAAAAATAATAATAAATGCCACATTTGTACTATACACCCCACTGTAGGGCTGGGAGATAAGGCAAAAATGCAATCTTAATAACTATTTTCCATAATGAACGATAACAATATATATTTCGATATAAGTTGTTATGCTTCCAGATTTAATACACTGTTATTACTTTAACACATTGTTACCCCAACACTGAAGCCACATAAAATTAGAGGATCCATTAAATAGCATAACATATTTTCAGCTGATAAATTTTTGGCGACATGAAATTCAGTACCTAATGTCATAACACTTGCACGTTTCTGCTGTGTGATTGGCTCTTGGATCAATATGGATTAAAAAAAAAAAAGTCCAGAGCTTATCATTTTTATTGACATAAATTTTATTGCGATTCGATATATTGTTTATTGGCCCAGCCCACCCCTCTGTGAAGTATTTAATTCTGAATTATAAATTGTTAACATAGTCCTTTAAATATTTAAGTTAGAACCACAATACACTCAAAAAATTACTCCATGAATAAAGGTTTCCATCATTCACCAATCACTCCAGTTAACTATTGCTAAATAATCATCTGGATTGAAATGTAACCAGAAGCACCAAGCAGAAATAATTGTGTTTTGCAAGAGCATGCAGCAATAATCACACTCATCACACTTGTCTCTATGCTGTTGCTATTCTAGGACTGGGCTTTTGTTGCCATGGTGAACTCTCAAATTGTTCATGACGGCATCTAAGCTATTTTTTTTTTTTTGCCTCAGATATGCAAACCAACATGTGCAGTGATAGAGGCTATAGAGCGTCTTCTGTCTGAGAGAGGACTGTGCACCTCAGGCTTGTTTGTGAATTATATGGGGCAGGGCAGATATCAAAGCACAAGCCTTGGACCATGACCAAGTACTCAATATTAGAGCAGAGTCCTGCCTTTAAGAGTTGTTTTTCTACCTGAAACTAGCTCTTTTATTTCCATGCTGCTTTGCCATTGGTTACATCAAATATATTATAAGTGATTATGATAAAACTAAACACACAAAAAGTGCAGAACATCTGAATGCAAATAAGTGTTGTTGATCACACAAAGATTTGGTCAAATGTTCTTGTGTTTACATTATTTGTGACTCTGGACCACAAAAAGTCTTATGTTGCACTGGTTTTATCATTACAATATTAAACCTTATGTACTGTTGGGGATGTTTTCATCCACTCTGGGGTGATTTTGTGTCTTAATTGGCCATATTTTTTTCTTTGTTTCAGCTAGCAGAATGGTTTTTGGTGACAAATCTTATTTTGACATATTTTGAAAAAATGCTTTCAATGAAAAAAAAACAACAACTCGAAAATACACTCTGGGCAAATTTACTAGCCTTTTGTTATTTTTGTGATGAAAACATCCACTAAATTAAACTGCTGTAAAAATGCATCAGATAAATATGTTTTTCATATTTTTTTTTTTTTTTTGCATAAATCTGTTAATCAACCACAGTCCTGATCAAAAGATCTTTTAACTCTTTTAACTCTTTAATTATCAAAATCATAAGTGATGTCACTGATTTGTTGAAAAACACACTCAAAATGACGTATTTTTAATACGAAAAGTAATTGTGGACTGGATTTTTTTTTTACCTTATATCAAAGTTTTGGACATGTGGAACAGCATTACCTTTAATGCATTGTTTTTGATTCATTTTACTTTTTTTTTTCTTCTTAATGTACTGTTGGTAGCTGTTTTTGTCCCATCAGCTTCCATTACAACCACATTTTTTATTACAAAACCATGACACCATAAAATCATGCATTTTTGATTGTTGCTAGTTTTCCCTGTTGGGAAGAGGTAAAACCTTTAATTTTTACTGTTGATCATCAGTTGGCATGATTAAGTCTTTGGATAGGCCAGTGCAAAACAAAAAACAAAAAAACAAAAAAAAACTTAGTTTCATGGATTTTATATGGAGTATAACAAATGTGTGTATGTACAGTATGTCTGTGAGTGTGTTAATGACCTTTGCTCACTTACCTTGATGTGTCAGAGAAAATCAAAATATGCATCTCTACTACGTGGAGTAACTAAAAACAAAGACTGTGTAGCATCAAATGCGGTTATAAAGGAAGTCAATGGGGAAAAAACAGCCATCAACAGTAAATAAGAAAGAAAAAAATTCAAATCTAACAATATCTCAGAGCCGATGTTGTTATCATTTACATGTCCAAGACTGTGATAAAAGGTCAAAAAATCCAGGCCACAATTACTTTTTATATTGAAAATATGTCATTTTGTTTGTTCGTTTTCACCAAATCAGTGACACAATTTTTGATCTTGGCAATTAAAGACTTAAAATCCTGTAATTTTTAAAAACATTTAGTTTTGATCATGATTAATGAAAAGAAAATTTGAAAAAAAAAAATCTATCTAATGCGATTTTGCAGCAGTTTAATTTAGTGGACGTTTTCATCCCAAACAAAAGGGTAGTAAATATGAACAGTGCACAAAGGTTAAATGCAAATCATGTTCCATACGTTATTTTGTACATTTTCTATTGATCTAAAATCTTACTTTTGATCAACATGCATTGCCAAAAACTTAATTTAGATTCCAGATTTTCAAGAAGTTGAATTTCCTTAGATTTACCCTTATGACTGGTTTTGTGATCCAAGGTAACATTTGGGCTGCACACTAGATATTTTGGATAATCTTTGTTTTTAAAGCACATAAAATGTAATATACCACATTTAACAGCATTTTAAATGGCTCTGTGAATCTTTAAAATTAAGAATAGAGCCACAATTCACAATTAACACCGGTTGGCTAGTGTTAACAATAATATAATAAATTTGGAATTAAAAGATTGTTAAAGGTTCAATAGATGTAAAGCTGTACAGTATGTTATCATGTGTGTAATAATATTGATTACCACTGAATTTGACTCCAAATAATCATGTGCCACATTCAAAACAAACTATTTTTTATTCTGAAACGAGTATCTAATTCAGCAACACGTGCGCTGCCACTCACCGGTGATATTGTGCAGGATCGTGGGCGTCCATGCTTCATGGGTTATTTTCATCCTTTTCTTTGCACTCTGTAAGTTCGAGTGATTTAAGTTCTGTGGTGGATGGTGTAGCGTCGAGGCCGAGCACATTGCAAATATCCACAACAGGAAAGTCTTGGGCTTCTATGACTTCGTTGGAATGCAAATGTTGCATAATGAAACCTGCGACGACGTTAATAGTTTTATTTTTATGTTTTTGTGTTCACATTTTTTGCGGATGTTTGAAAATTTATGTGCAACTGGCAACATGGCAATTATCTACAACATACAGCTGCCAGATTTAAACTCAGAAGAATCGATTTATATGTAAGACTTCAAAACGTTATGAAAGAATCGATATGCAGAAAAACCGTTCATGTTTTGTTCATTAAGTGGATTAATAACATGCATATTTACTCTGGTCGACCCACAGACTAATTCAATCTTTATTTTAGTCTTTTTAGTTTAACATTCTCAGTGATGAAAATTGATTTATAAAAGCTACGTATGTTAATTATTTAATTATTTCTGATAATATTATTAAAGAAATGTATACTCTTCCCTTACAAGAATGAACAAAATTTTCAATAAATTAAAAATGTAAGGCTTTTGGCAGATTGATTACATTTGTACTGTTTTACCACAGTGGTTAAACTATGGTAGTGTAGCAGGGTTAATTAGGTCTACTACAACTTTCTAAATAGAAAACCATGGTTAATTTTTGTAAGGGCTGTTTCTAGACTTCAATACAGTTCATATACCTATGTTGGTGAAACGGAACAACAGGGGCAACATGGTGGGTCAGTGGTTAACACTGTCACCTCACAGCAAGAAGCAAGAAGGCTGGCTGGGTCACTTGGCATTTCTGTGTGGAGTTTGCATGTTCTATTCGTGTTCTCCTGAGTTTCTTCTGTGTTTCTTGGCTGTAGCATATGCGTGTAATTGTGAGAGTGTATGGGTGTTATCAAGTACTGGGTTGAAGCTGGAAGGGCATTCAATGTGTAAAACATATGCTGGATAAGTTGGCGGTTCACTCCGCTGTGGCGACTACTGATAAATAAAGGAACTAAGCTGAAAGAAAACGAATAAATGAAACAGAACAACAGACAACTTTGTGTCAAAAATGTAGCTTACTCAGTATAATCTTTTTGTTTATTAAACTCTACAAAAAAGTAACAAAATCTGTGAGATTTTCAAAAGGTACACATTTGTACATATGGGTCAATATTGTTACAAAGAAGTCCCTAACTTTTTAAAAATGTATACTTCTATACTTTTTAGCTACTAATATCATGTACACTTAAATGGATAGTTCACACAAGAATGAAAATTTGTTGTAAAACCTGTAACCATTGACTTCCATAAAGGAACAAAACATATGAGGAAGTCAGTGCTTAGGTTTCCAGCTTTCTTCAAAATATCTTCTTTTGTGTTCAACAGAAGAAAGAAAATCAATCAGGTTTGGAACAAGTAAAGGGTAAATAATGACAAATGTTTCACCTTTGGGTGAACTAAATCATTAATCAGTGTTGGGGAAAGTTACTTTAGAATGTAATGCATTATAATATTGAGTTACTCCGCAAAAAAGTAATTAGTTCTGTTACTCAGTTAATTTTTATGGCAAGTAATGTATTAAGTTATTTTTGAGTTACTTTTGCGTTACTTTTTCTGACCTGGCTGAGGCTTGATCTCTTTCAGAACCTGCAGAAGGTTTTATTCTTTTTCAAATAGTGGAGCTCTGCAATTAACAATGCACTGTATACCCTTCATTTACCTTTAAAAAAACACATAAAAATGAATATAGGATAATGTTATCTTTAGAGTACTTCCTAACCCCTAAGCTATACATGCCATATTTACAGATTCATTAAAGTAACTTCAAAAGACAAACAACTTTTTGTCTTATTAAAAATAAAATCACTGTCCAATCAGATAATCCTCTTTTCCTTTTCTTCCATGTGTTTAATTTAATGACAATATTTCCATCGCAGAAATGTAAAGCTCTGCTGTCTTCATGTCCGTTCCTGCATTCACTCATTGCGTGTGTGATTCAGTGTGACTATGTTCATTTTAATTCAGCTATTTATTTATTTTTAAAGCAAATTAACTACACCAAAAAATAACTTGCATTACATTTTTGAAAAGTAACTCAAATATTATAACTTAATTTTTAAAAGTAATGCGTTACTTTACGCATTAAAGCCTTTTGTAATTTATTTATTTACAATATATGATGGCAAAATAGTAAAAATAGGACAAATGAGCTTATGTATGGGAAAAATTCTGGACCTTTGTCAGTAAGGGGTGGGTCTTCCGGAACACCCAAATTCCGCCTGGCCATGGACCTGACTTGTAATAACTTTTGTTAGAACAAAACAGCTTTTGTGCTGTCCAGCATAAACTTCAAATAGATAAAATTATAATCACATTTGCAATCATGCTCATACTGCTCATGTTGCAAAGTGAGTGACTCATATATAAAAAAACAGGGATATTTTAGATTTTTTAGTAGTAGGTAGTGCTGTTGCCTTACAGCAAAAAGGTTGGTGGTTCGAGCCTCAGCTCAGTTGGCGTTTCTGTGTGGAGTTTGCATGTTCTCCGTGCGTTCGCGTAGGTTTCCTCCGGGTGCTCGGGTTTCCCCCACAGTCCAAAGACATGCGGTACAGGTGTATTGGGTAGGCCAAGTTGTCCGTAGTGAATGAGTGTGTGTGTGTAAATGAATGTGTGTGGATGTTTCCCAGAGATGGGTTGCGGCTGGAAGGGCATCCGCTATGTAAAAATGGGATAAGTTGGCGGTTCATTCTGCTGTGGCAACCCCAGATTAATAAAGGGACTAAGCTGACAAGAAAAAGAATGAATGTATATGGACATTGTAAACTGCATTGCAATAGTTACTCAAACCTGGAATTCATTTAAGCTCTTAGTTTTTTTTTTTTTTTTTTTTGCATTGTGCTTTAAAATATTCTGGTTTAAATATTTTTATTATTAGAAATTTTAGCAGACATTCACTTGTAAATACACCTTTTTAAAAATACAAACAGTTTAGCAAACAATCTGAAATAAAACAACAACAACAACAACAACAACAACAACAACCAACAGTCATAAAAATATTAATTAAACAAAAATTAAAAATACTTTCTCCTAACCAACCACCAACCAGTGCTATCCAATGGTAAAAGTAGGTACTAAAGGCGTGGTAAACATATTAATCACAAGTTTGCAAAAAATAAATAAAAGAGGATTCACATTTTTCAAATAACAAAATCATTCATTAAAATTGTCAATTAGGGCACCTGATTTTTTCCAGATGTAATGTACAGGTTAACTCTGTCAATCATAATTTAAGTAACTTTTAACATAACTTTAAGTAAAATAACTTTTTTCTTCCAAAACAAAAAGATAAATGTTTTGGCAGAGATCAAGCCATATTTAACAAACTGTTGTTGTACCTGTGTAGGTATAATTAATATAGGAACTGGCTCAATTAGAATGTCTCATGCAGAGATGCCCAAAGTAGGGCCCGTGGGCCAAGGTAACCTTTAATTTGTCCCACTGTCTCATCTGAAAAGAGAGGAAAAATCATAAGGGGATTGAGGTGAACATAGATCGTGATTTTGAATTTATTTCCTTTTGTTTCTTTGTTTTGTTGCTGATCTACAAAAAAAGTCAACTGAAATTCAATGTTTCAATTAAATATTGTAAATTGATCAAACTTTTAACATGCTAGTACAGTCACTTGACAGACAGAGGACAATGCACAAGACATCGGTGAGCAAATCAAGGCAGAAGCAGCTAGAATAGTGTTATCAGCACTAAACTCCATTGTGTTATAAAAGGGATTGTTTATGTTTTTCTAGTTTTCTATGTTTTCTAGTATTTTTTATATAATAACTATATATATATATATATATATATATATATATACAATGATTTTGTATATATTTGGCCCACAGCCCTCAATTAAGGTTGGTTTTTGGCAAAGTTTATGAACCCCTGGTCTAATGTATCTGAAAAAACTTGCAAAATTTTGTTCCAGAAACTCTGTAATTTAGTACACATATAGGAATGAGACAGTTTAGAATGTAAAAACTGACATTTGTCACACAATGGAAAAAGGAAACAGTCTACTAATACTCAAAAGAGAAGTAGTCGGCATGTTATTGCAATGCAACTTTTAGTCAACAAAATGTGCAAAAGGGACCATCAAAATGAAGTGTTAATAAAATAACATTGCTCCTCCGTCTTGGTCTGTTCAGGTGATGCTGGAGCAGATGCAGGGCCTAATGCACCTTGAACTCTCCGGCTGCAATGACTTCACAGAAGCCGGCTTGTGGTCCAGCCTGAACGCGCGGCTTACCTCGCTCAGCGTCAGCGACTGCATCAACGTGGCAGACGATGCCATCGCTGCCATTTCTCAGCTCCTTCCTAACCTATCAGAGCTCAGCCTGCAGGCCTACCATGTGACCGACACGGCCATGGCCTACTTCACGGCCAAGCAAGGCTACACCACCCACACGCTGCGTCTGAACTCCTGCTGGGAGATCACTAACCATGGCGTAGTCAACATGGTGCACAGCCTGCCCAACCTCACCTCCCTCAGCCTGTCGGGGTGCTCGAAGATCACAGACGATGGTGTGGAATTGGTTGCTGAGAATCTAAGGAAGCTCCGGAGTCTGGATCTGTCATGGTGTCCTCGCATCACCGACATGGCCCTGGAGTACATCGCGTGCGACCTGCACAAGCTGGAGGAGCTGGTTCTGGACCGGTGAGTGTGCTGAGTTTGCAGAACAGAGCAGAAAGGAAATCTTGCTGAGATTTCCTCTTACAAAGCCTCACTGGAAGTAAATTTTGTGGTCAAAAGTAGTGATAGACTAATATATCAGCTTGGCTGTTTCATTAGTTGATATTTGCTATGGGTAAACCGCAGCTAAATTAGATTTTCAGTTCGCCTGCAGTTCTTTATATCAAAAAAGTTATAACTGTTCAACCACCATATTAACCATGCATTTTTGAAACTTAACCAACATGTGAGGAACATAACCGAGCAACTTGTTGTTTATGATGTATTTACAGGGGTAGTTCACCTAAAAATAAAAATGCTGTTATTAATTACTCACTATTAACTTGTTCCAATTTAGTTTGAGTTTTTTGTTTTGTTTTGCTGAACACAAAAGAAGTTATTAGGAAAAATTGTTGGAAACCTGTAACCATTGACATCCATTGGAAAAGCTAATATTACTGTATGTCAGTGGTTACAGATTTCCAGCATTCTTTAATATGTTTTATTTCGTGTTCAACTGGTTGTGTTTATCTGGTTTGGAACAAGTCAATGGGCTGTTCATTCCGATGTGGCGACCCCAGATTAATAAAGGGACTAAGCCGAAAAGAAAATAAATGAATGAATGAACAAGTCAAAGGGTGAGTAAATGACAGAATTTTCTTTTTTTTTTTTGGATGAAGTATCCTTTTAAATGCATATCATATATTTTTTCTCTCTTCTTTATTCATAGTGCAAGAACATACAGGGAACAAAGTACACTCTCAGTGTTGAAAAGCAGCAAAAAAGCAAGCTCAAAATAAACGTAAATCAAACATACTTTGTCTGTGAAAAAAATAAATCTTATTTCAAAATATTGGATCCTGCACTTTTCTACTTTAGTAACCCTTGGGTATTGTTTGAATTTACTACCCTTTTATTATGTTCGTGGTGTTTTTTGCCCCATTGACTTCCATTATGAATTTTGAATGCAAATTCTTGAGTCCAAATAATCATGCATTTTTGATTTAGGTGTTTTTCTCTATTTGGAAGAGGTAAAATATGTCATTCTTACTGTTGATCATCAGCTGGCACCATTAACCCCCTATATATAGGCCTGTAGATCACAATATGTGCATAAATACATTTACTATGTTCTGAGAGTTAAGCTGCTTATTTAATTTTCTCAGACTTATCATGTAAGTATGCAAAGATCTCTTTCACACTTTCAGACACACACACACACACACACACCCATGCACACTATACTCCAAATGAATCAATTTAAAGGCCAGAAACTACGCTATTTTTGCATTTTAACTGATAATCGACAATAAAAAGTAGAAATTGCACCTCTTCCCAACAGGAAAAATCATTAACAATCAAAAATAGATGCTTAAATGGTGTCATGGCATTGCAATTAATACATGTAATTTTAATGAAAGTCAATGGGGCAAAAACATGACAAAAGGGTAGTAAACTTAAAAGTTAGTAGTTAACCGTAGTAAAAGTTTTTGAAATATATAAAAGCATTTGTCAGCAAAAAAACATCCCATTTGTTCAAACAGATGGAAAACTAAGACTCAAAATCACTCCAGAGTGGATGAAAACTTCCCCAACACACACAAGGGTTAACTGTGTAAACTGGAATGCTAAGCTCAAAAAATGCTTAATAATCATCTCTTATAATAACACTATGAGAGTGCTTTGTGAAGCAGCTTTCCAGACATAAACATCAACACCTTTGTTGACTGTGGTTTATTTAAAGTTGCTGAAAATAATGAGTCATAATTGGTTGCATTAATATTTCTATGGTCAGTCATCATACTGTAGTTTTGGTAGAGTCCTGTTCTGAAATTAATTCATACTCTTGTATTTAAATACACTTGTCAAACTTTAAAGTTAAATTTTTTTTGCCTTTTAATTCATTATATTCAATCTGGCAATAGTTGATTTTTATTTGTTTTTACACACATCAATTCAGCATCGAAGTTCTGCAGAGCTTCTCTCTTTTGTTAAGTGTTTTTAGGTCTTTATTGCATAACACAAATAGAAGAACAAGCTTCACCGGCACAATCTAAATATGGGTTAAGGGTTTCTATGGATTGGATCCTGCCTATTCAGTCAGAAAGGACATAGTGAACTATCTGATAAATCAGATGCTTCTATTATAATACTGTGGCGTCACCTATTTTATAAAAAGCCCAATTATCTAGACCACATCAAGACCGTTTCAAAAATCACAATATTGAAGATCCTTGTTCACTTACAATGTCAGTGGAGTGCTGTGCTTCAATGATGGTATCTAATAGTCCTTACTAATAATGATTACTATATTCATATATTTATACAGTACTTGAGGGATGTCAGAGAAAGTTAACTCTGTTACATGGTCAGAAAAAAGGTACCCAGCAAACAATTTTGTGTTTAATAGACGTCTAATAGACATCTAAACGTAGACAGCATAGCTAAAACAAGTCTAAACTTGGGCTGTCAGTGAAAATCTAATAGACATCTAAGAATATCCCAAAACTAGACTATAGACAGACAAATAGACAGACTTTGTATGCGTAGTCATTCATTTCTGTTTGTTTGATGACTAGTCTAGTTTTGGCCTAATCTTAGAAATCTATTAGATTTTCACCGACAGCCTAAATTTAGCTTTGTTTTAGCCAAGGTGACCATGTTTCCACACCTATTTGACGTCTCTTAGACATCTTTTAAAAACAAAAAATGTTTACTGGGTAAAAGCATTTTGGGGTATTGTTGAATGTAAAGGTTTTATGTGCATAAATATGGCAGTGTCTGAAAGTGAAAATGACTCCCCTTTCACATGTCTGTATTCAGGTGTGTGCGGATCACAGATACAGGCTTGGGCTACTTATCTACCATGTCAACACTGAGAAGTCTCTACCTGCGCTGGTGCTGTCAAGTAAGTGCCTGCAGAACTGTTTCAATCAGATAAATTGCATATAATGATGGCTATAGTTCACTCGCCTAACTTCATTAGGATATACAATATATATTTAAGACAGTTTATAGCAGGTCACCTTAACAGAACTCCTTGAAATCATGTAATAAGTTTGAAATCATGTAATGTGTTAATCTATTTTGTTTTTAGGTGCAAGACTTTGGGTTACAGCATTTATATGGCATGAGGAGTCTTCGTCTTCTTTCTCTAGCAGGTATAACGGATCTTTCTCTGAATGTACATTGCCGACACTGCAGGATGTGCAAGTAAAATCATGATCAAGTACTATAATGAAATATCACAGTATGTTTGGAGGTAGACCTGAGCTTAATCATGTTATGGAAATCTCAGTTAATCCCTGCTGTCTGAGCAAAAATGTATTATTTTGAAAGAAAGATAGATTTTCACATTTAGATGATGAATACATAATCACGATGTGATATACAAGTCTAATTTAAAAGCACATTGGCAGATGAAAAATAATCGCCTGTTTCAGCAATAGCTGCTCTTAAGGATGTTCTGTTCTAGAATTTAAGGGGAAAAAAAGCCCATTGATAGGGCTCAAGCACCACTTCATCCAAAAAAACCCCAAGTATTTCAGTCGATATTATTTTTAGCATGACAAACTTAAAAGTTAAAAACTTAAAAACTTAAAACTAAAAGTTAAAAATTGTAGTTTATATAGATAAAGGCTTCCTCACAAACTTATTTGTTATTTAGGTTGTGTTTAATCTCACTGTGTGTTATTAATGAAGTTATAAATAAGTATGAATGCTGTGATTTAATCTTCATAATTCAATCATCTCTGAATTTTGATCGAATTATGATATCAATGTGAATCAGAGAAATCTAAATTAACCAAAAATAGGACATGATGCCATAAATTATGACCCCATAGCAGGGATCACCAAAGGTGTTCCTGGAGGTCCGGTGTCCTGCAGATTTTAGCTCCAACCCTAATCAAACACACCTGAACAAGCTAATCAAGGTCTTACTAGGTATACTTAAAACACCCAGGCAGGTGTGTTGATGCAAGTTGGAGCTAAACACTGCAGGGCACTGGACCTCCAGAAACGAGATTGGCGACCCCTTCCCAATAGCAACAGAAAGCTTAAGTATACCTGGCTCTTCTTTTCCTAATTATACTGTTGCTTATTTCAGGTCAGGCGTCGACAAGCAAATGTTTGTTTTCTTGCTGCATATCTTGTTTGTTTGTGACAGAGGGATTGTTTATATGCATATCTTCACATGTACATACGCACATAAAATGTGTGCATTCAGACCTGATCACAATAGTGTTTTGGATAAAAAGTGAGTTGCATGTATGTCACAAAAGTTTTTACTTACTTTTTTAAAGTATTTATTTTAAAATATTCAATACACACATTTATAGATGTACATGTCTTTAAAATGTAAACATTAACTTAAATAAAAAAAAAAACTAATATTTGTTTTGTATATTTTTGACAACTCTTTATTATACTCTTATGCACCGGCTTATGTAGATATAAGTTTTTCTAGTTGCGTTTAATTGCTTAAAGCTTTTATCACGATATTGACCTAAGCTGCTAGAAACTCACTTTAACAGGTTTAATAATAAAAAATACTGTATTGATTTAGTGAATGTAAATCAAATGAATGTCAATGTTCAAATGTAAACAAACTTCCAACCAAATTAAGCAAATTAAAGCAAAGGATTAAATTCTAAAGATAAAATAGGTAACACTACAAAAAAAAAGTTTCACTTGTAAACGTTATTAAGTTTCTGTATTAAAATTAACAGTAAGAAAAAGAGACACATTTATTAGTTACTATGTTAAAATAAGTTTAAATAAACACAACAGATTTATATCAGTAATTGCCTATTTTTAATAAAATGATTACGAAATTTAATCAGATGATGACTATGATTTTAATGTGTTATTAGAAGTTTTAGAAAGTAACATCATCTATGATTAATGTGAGGTTAGTTAGAAATAACTAATGTTAACTATTGGAGCCTACATTAACACTGTGCAATAGATAAATAAATAGTCCCAAAATTGTCATTGTTCTGTCATAGGCTAGATTAACGTGAAAAGGATCGTGTTTTAACTATTAAGCGAACCAATTAAGTCTTTAAGCTGTTAAAACCTTCGATCAACGCTGTAATGAACACCACTGTAAATACAATGTGAATATTATTAAAAAATCTCACCAATAATAAATAATTTATCATGGTATTTTGCAGGGTTCACAATAACGACATTGTGCATATTGGTTATCGTGATATATCGAACACCAGCATATGTCTATTATACACACCTATGATGAAAATAACAGTGTTGTTGTCACACCACAATAACAACAGGAAATGAGCTGTTGAGGTCAGATGGCTGTGTTTTTGACGTGTTCTCATTTACTGTCTCAGGCTGCCCTCTGCTGACTACTACTGGTCTATCAGGCTTGATTCAACTACAGGACCTGGAGGAGCTGGAACTGACCAACTGCCCGGGCGCCACCGCCGAACTCTTCAAATACTACTCCCAACATCTGCCACGCTGCATGGTCATCGAGTAGAGCAAAACGAGTTTTACGGGCACCAGCACCCAACACATCACCAAAACCTCCTCCTTCAGACTGATGATAAACCCTATTTCATCCTGGACCCACAGGGAGAGAAATTGAAAAGGAAGGTTTTTTTTTTTTTTCTTGTTTTTTTCCGGAGGGGTGAAAATTGAAAGTGGGAAGATAAAAAGGAAATCTGAAAGAAAAATCCTGTCGGAATGGGTCAGGACTGGCAAGAGAGAGGGAAAATGTTCAAAGCGCAGTGGGTCAGAGGCTAGATCTTTCATTAAATAACATGACACATGAGTCAGCCCCTACACATACATGAAACATGTTCCTCCACTGAACTGTGAGACTAGCTTCCGTGTCTCATCCAAAAACTGTTTATCTTGAAGTGACAAAGGTGTGTGCCGACTGTTTGAGCTGTCTCTCATATCCAGGGAAAGATTGAGAGGACGTTTAAGGAAAGGAAAGAGGTTAAGGAGCCACTGCAACAGGGTCTCTTCGCTTTTGTCAAGCGGCATCTGGGTTTCTCGCTCCATTCAGTGGTGCTGCCTCTCCATCTTTGTGTCTTAACAAAGAAAGAAAAAAAAACTAGAGATGAACAGCTACGTAGATTTTCACATCAACGCTACTTGCTTTTTTTGGTCATGCGGTTCTCTTTGGTCGTTTTTATTTTTAAATATTATTTTTTTAAGTATTATTTTTGATGATAAGGATTACTGTGAAACATTTATCGGTACAAGTTCGAGATTTGAGACACTTTGAATAAGATGGAAATCCAGGTATGGTGAAGGTACAGTATTAATTAGGTACTGTCCTTTGAAAGGAACCAGCATAATCAGAAGTCAGGAGGTTATTTTTCTTCTCAGCAGATCGCTCTTTTAAAGACATTTCCAGTTATTTCGTGTCGGGCTGCGGATGGGATCGGAACTGCTCATACATTTTAATGTGGTTCAAATGGACAGTGGTTTGTACAAACAATAGCTTGGCTTTTTCACCTGCCTGTTTTTGTTTTAATTCCATTTTGATGTCAATTGATATTAGTGGCTTATGTGCAGGTTTCCATATTAATCCCGATTCAAATGAAGACGAGATCTCGGAATGATCCCATAATGCAGCAGGGGCCAAACGATGGCCTTTTTTATTCACAGACTGAAACTGCACGTCATTGCTTACTTGTCACCAGGCCAAACCATTACAGCATGGCAATTCTACCATAGTTTCTTACATTACGGGCACAGTGTCTCTTTCCGCCCGAGTGCTTTTAAATACATCTAATGAATACAGTTTACAGTGATTTGCATCAAATGCAGAGGCAGGCCAGTGTAATTAAAGTCATCACAAGCATCCCACACAAGCTTATTGCAGTAGTCTCTCTTCATCTAGCAGTTTTTACTTTCCCATTAAGCAATACCCAAATGTCTTCTTTTAGATTAGCAGCACCTCTTTTTGTTTTCAGAGGTGCCAGGTTCTTCGACCTCATATTTGAGCTTAACTGGTGTGCCTACCTCATTGTATCATGGGGTATGTGGAATACAGGTTCGCAGGGGAATTCACAAAAACCAGCCATTTATTTATTTATTTATTTATTTGTCAATCTGCTTCATAGCCTATTTTAAACCCTGCATTTGTCCTCTCAGGAGAATTATGTGCTGCTCAGATCATCTCAGATGGGTCTGCTGTGATGTTAATTACCTTAATGTTCACCTATTTTACCTAATCTCAAACTCAATACCTGCAATTTGGCAAAAAAGATGGTATAGTACACATTTTTTGAGTCTTAGATGGGCAGGTAATTGAATTTAAAGCATCCCTAAAAAGTCTAACAAGTAAAAATGTGTTTACATCTGAGTTTTATGATGATTTGTTAACAAATTTGGGATGATTTGCTATTCTTTTTCTCAGAAAAAATTTGTGAATGAATTTAAAGATGAATTGACTTGACATGGCACATTGGCAGTTTGGCTAGTTAGCGCCCCTGTTGGTTGATGACTGAACTGAATGCAAAAAAAGCATATTTATACATTGACAGCCACAATTTTTTATGAAATAAATATTAAAATAAATATTTATAAAGACAGATGACCATCATGGCTTCTGCAAAGAACCTTTTAGTTACCATTTGTCAGTAAAGACGCTTTATTTTTCAGAATTCACAGTTGAGCCTTTGTATTTAGCTCAAAGATAAAGCTAATCTCACTCCAAAAAAGTGTGGAACAAAACAGGTGGATTCTACTCTAAGGTAATTCCTGCATCACAAAGTGGACACTACCCTTTCCCACCCTAAATCCTCCAGGCTGTAAAGATAACAAATTATATCTACTAAAAGACACATTAGCATAATCATTAGCACTCACCTCAGACAGTCGATCTCTCTTCATGTACATAGCGGCCTGTTTAATGGGAAGGTCATAGCTAATCAGCGTTAGCGGCTGCTGCTGCTTATCCAGGCGAGATCCCTTGAGACTTTACCTGAATTTATCTTTTCGAATCATTGAAGTTGTTGCATATTTATTTGCTTTAGCTTATCATTGGTAGTGGGTTAATTTATTGACACGATGCACATATTTATTTATTTATTAAATCTCTGAGGATTATGCGAGGTTGTTTTTATTTAGAGTTAGAATATGTTTTGGTAATTTAGGAGACAGGAAGTAATGCAGGAATTTGGGATTTTGTCAGATGAATAGTTTTGGGTTTGACAGTTAATTCTAACGTTTTTGGTGGGCAAAATGCTGACACACAGTATGGATGGGCAATAACTGGTCGACAGCCTGGCTGACAGTGAGTTGACCTACCTTTTATACCCTCCAGCTGGCCATTTTCTTGTGTTTAGTGACCGAGTTAAATCTGTTTGCTCAATCAAATGGATGCCAGTTGAGAGACTCTATCATAAAGCCTAGAAATATTGATTATCTCCAGAAGAAGATGTTGAATAGCACCAGTTAATATGACTGAATCTGCATTTGGTTGTTTTGAGGTATCATGATAATGGTTTGAAGACATATTGCAGTATTTACACTCTCCAATTGTCTATTTAAGGAAGAGAATGGCATTCATTTAATAGCGAAGGTCTGAAGGAAAATCCCATCAAAGCGCTTTTCCATTCCATGTGTCTTCATTGATAACATAAACAGAACCATTTGAGATGAATGAAATAAAGAGAGATTATTAATATATCACTGAGGCATTTCATAGTATTTGAGGACAATTATATTAAGCTGTCGGAGATATTGTATTAATCTTGTATAAATACTATCGTTTTCAATTCAAACCCAAGCCTTTTTCTTCTTTGTATGGAATGAGAGTTTCTGTGTGTGGGATGATCTTTTGTTTTTCACCATAGAGAGAACCCTAAATATAAATATAACAACTCATGCACTAACCCCCACTGTAATCTGTAAATATATGTCAATATGTCGAGATCATTTGTCACAGTTTCAACTGTTTTGATGCTGCCTGGCTCTAATCATGCACGTCTAAACCGCTCCAAACGAAGCAAGAAATGAAAGAAGGAGGCAAGATATGCAAAAAGGTTAACGTCTTTTAGCGATGAATCACATCAGCAATCGATAGTATAAAAGACTTGTTTCACTTTGTACATTGAGCTAATATCAAAGACATGTTAATACGGGCTAAATGCAAGATTATTAACAGATGTTTATTGTACGTATATTGACATTCTCCTGCTGCCTCAGTCATATATACAGCGGGTATAGAAAGTATTGGACACATCACAATTTGGTGCTGTTGACTTGAAATGTTAACCAGATGTCAGTAGCGACTAAAAAAGTCCATACATACAAAGACAATTAAAATAATTAGTTTACAATTTAAGTAATGTGTGCAAACAAATGAAATGAGTGGTCAAAGTATTGAACACATGAAGAAAGGAAGGTAAAAAATGCATGGAAGGGCCAGACAGCAGCTGAAGTCACTCGGTGGTTAGCAGATCTGATCCTCATCAGTGTAAATGATTATTAGCTGCTTCAGTCCCAATCAGATGATGAAGATGAAACCAGGGTGGACATTTCAGCAACACATTTACTATGTTTACATGGACATCAGTAATCAAATTATTTGTTTTAATCTGAATAAGACAATAATATGATTTAAATGTTTACATGAGTTGCTTTTTGAATGTTCCTTTCATGATCCCATTTTACATTATAGCCCATAGTTCGATTAACATCATTGCATCAACATGCATGTTTCCTCTGGAGTGTCATGCAATTTCAAATGTTTCATTTAAAATTTTTTTAAACTTTAGCTGCACTTCGACAGCTTCACTTTAATTTAGGAACATTTCATTCATGTCGCCGGGACAAACTGAAGTATTGGACGAGAGTATGAAGTAAGGACTGGTGTTTTAATGGATTTTTTGATACCGCATGTCGAATGAAAAAAAGACCCCTCCACATTTCGTGATGTGTCTGTCTGGTCCTTTACTGACTCGGTAGGTGTCACAAAATGCGCCGAAAAGTCCTACATGACGGTAGTAGATTGATTAAGGTGTTTCTTTACTGCACTTCAATAATGCCACTAAAATACTTCACATCTTAGTTCGATCTCTGTTTAGTTTGATTATGACTTTAGTCAGATTAAGGTCATCAAAAATCTCTGTGTTCATGGAAGACTCTTAATCAGAGTATTGACTTAATCATATTAAAATATAAATTAATCAATGATCCTAAATACAGACAAGGAAACTCTCAATTGGTTTCAGAAAAGAAAATAAAGCTGCTAGAATGGCCTAGCCAATCACCTGACCTGAATCCAACAGAAAACAAGAACTGAAGATCAGAGTTGATAGATGAGACCCACAGAAACATCAAGATTTACAAACTCTGTTTATGTCAGAGGAAAATCTGAGCAATGCATGTGACTACATTCTCCATACAAGAGGCGTCTTGGTTACCAAAAAAGCCTATTATACATATTGTTAAACACATTTCAGGAATTCAATACTTTCTCCTTGTATCATACTGTCATTGGACATAATATAAGTTTCTGAAATGTATTTGTTTAGTTTTATTTGTATGTTTGGGCTTTTACGAAAATCGTTTTCATGTCAGCAGCTCCTTTAGAAATGTATTTACCACAAAAAATAATGACATATTCAATACTTATTTTACATGCTGTATATATGATTCAGGCAGAGTTACTTTTCCGAGTCAATGAAATACTGGTACTACTGTGTGAATTTCGCTTTCTTACCAGACACAGCTGGCAGAGTGGTTCTAATGGATTTACACTGTAAATGTACATCGTTTCAGGGCCAGTTTACACGAGTAACGCTCCTCTATTCTTGCTTTCTGAAAGAGTTTTACTAGCTTACCACATCCAGAGTGTGTTGGCAGTTTCTATTCAACCTCAAGCTTGCTTTTACCTCTAAATGTCTGGCGCTTCTAATAGAATAATTCATCTATTCCTCTAACTCTTCCCAAACTAACATGTCAGGCTCGTTTCTTTTATAACATTTGAGATCGACAGGATTCAACAACAGAAAGCAACTCTTTTGTTGGCTCTTTGTATGTACTTGTACATGTACTATTAAAAACAATATTCGTAATGCTT